GTATTAAATAAAATACGTTTTAATTTAGAAGATATTAAGTTTAATAATATTTAATTGAATTATATCAAAACACATCAAATAAATAAAATTATATATATATATGTATATATATCATTGGCGCTTTGTGACCGCTGTGGCGATTTTCGGCCGAACCCTTCCTCCAATTAGTGGTTTTGCGTCTTGATGTGTTTCCAACAAATGGAGGGACCTACAGTTTATATTAAGCCGCCTCCGAAGGATTTCATGCCAGAAATACACTTGGAGCGGTTGACACTAAATTAAATTACATTAAAAAAAGTACAATTAAATGAAAAAAAAATTAAATTACATGTGGATAAGATAAAATTAATGAAAATATAAATAGTTACAGCTATAGTCAACACTCATAAATAATGCTCACTCATCATGCTACACTCAATAATTTCGAACTACACATTCACTATTATTTATTGCACCATTTTATGCTGTCATGATTATCACTCTTATGGAAACCACTTTTATTGTGCTCATCAATTCACACATATCCACATTAAATATTAAAACAAAAGCTACCAAGCTATAACTCAGTGACAGACTGCCATAAGAGACCCCCCATCGCCAGCACATGTTTCGGGCATTAAAAACAAAAATCCTAAAAAAAACGAAAACAACAATGCATTCATACAGGCAGTTGAAACAAATCAAATGTACAACAATGCTTTGTCATAATTAAAATTAGCCATTGAACTGAAAAGCTTTAAATATTGTTCATATTCGCGGTTGTTCCAGAATGCAGAATTTCGACCCGCACCACATGAAAATGCATACAGCCACCAGGCAGACAATCAGAAATATTATGTTTCCTTCGAAGCATGCAAAGTTATTTCGGAAAACCATGCCTTACTCCATTTCTGAAACACTATTGAGTGTACATACATACATATAGTTTTTTATTTTATAACATGTGTGTAAATATGTCGCTTCGAAGGCCTACTTTTCTTTCGCTTTCAACATTCCGTAACAAAAACCACCACTGGAATCTTTCAATGAACTTGAATGGCCCATTGTGACAACCCACCGACTGTTTGACGTTGGTGGTTGTTATGGGAAAATCACTTATCAACAATGAGAAATGAATTGTGAGGAAGCCGTTGGCGTTGAATGCTTCGTCTTTTTTAAGGCGTAAATAAAAATGAGCAAAAATAATCTATCGATTTGCCAAATCTTAATATTCAAGTGTTAAATATGTTTTAAAATCTATTTTCGAGCGATTTTCTTTAGTTTGCAAAAGAAAAAACAGGATTTGATATTGCGAATATCATGGAATGCAATAAAATGTGTGATGGTATTTTTTTAACATGTGTCCATTGCGGCAACACCATCAGCGAAGCGAAGCGCAAAATGACATTCTTGACAGCTGCTTGCCTGTCCGCCTGTCTGCCTGCTGCCGACCAACGCCGCCACGAAATTCACACGCGACTTTAAAGCTGCTGAGGCAATGTCGAAAGTGTAACATCTGCATAAATTTCACAAATTCCACTTGTTTTTCATTTTTATTCATTCTTTTTTATTTTTTTTTTGTACTTAATAGCACCAGCTGCTTTATTACTTCACATCCATTCACACTGTGTACTTCTTCGTCCTCTCGCTCGTTGTTTGTAACTTCATTTTTATTATTTTGCCGTTCATAATTGTTTTGATTAATTTTCAACGCCTTCAATGCTTTGTTTACATTTCTCACAATGCATTATTAGCGCTTGAACTCTTGCCCAACCACCCGCACATGCGAGCGCAAACAAACGTGCATACTCTCGTAATTTATGATTACGCAATTTGACGGTCGATGACGTTTGTTTGGCATACGGCAGCGTTGCTTTAGTTGTGTCGGAATCGGTTGCTGCATTATGAAGCTGTCAGTTGCAACTGTCAAAATGGCAAACAATATGCCAGTGGATTGTTGCTCTCACTCGCTGGCTACCGGGCATATCAAGGGCATATCAAGTTATGTAATCGTATGCAATTGTAATTTGATTTATATTAATGAATAAATGCAAATTTGCATAATTAATTACAATTATATTTTGTGCTAAATGCATTTGTTTCAATTAAAAAGCTGTCCGAAATTTCCAGGCGCATTTTGGTCGGCTGTTGTTGTGATTTGGAATGATAATATTTAACTTTAAGTTTCAAAATTAAGACATTGCGACTTTCATATACTTACATATGCTTTTGGGTCGTGAAATCAGCCTGCAAAACTGCGAAGTTTCTTAAAATACATAAACAGATGAATTGAACACATTTGGCTTAGTGAAAACTTTCTTTGCTCCAAACTGCATTTTACTTTCTTTCTTTGTTTTGTTTGATTTAATTAAATTGCTTAACGTTATAAATAAGAATTTATGCCAAATTTGTTACATAACTCTAACGACTACTTAGTATATTATTTATGCGAAACAATTGTCCAAACAGTAAAGTCACTGGCGTGACTACCAAAGACATTTAATAAGAAAGTAAACTAATATAAAATGAAACAATATAAACTAACATGAAAGAAAATAAAATAAAATAAAATAAAATAAATGCAAGCAAATAAAAAATAGTAAAAACAAATTAATAAAAAATTATATAAAAAAATTTAAAACAAACTAAGTTAAATAAAATTAAATTAAATCAGTGTGAAATACACTGAAATATAAGAGTAAATTTTAAAATTTATAAATATTAAATTATATAAAATAAATGCAGAGAATATAATAAATTAATGTATATTATCTAATTAAATAAGGAAAAATTAAAATTTTATAAATAAACAAAATCCAATTAAATAAATTAAAATAAAACAAAATACAGTAGAGCAAAAATAAATGAAATAAAGAAACATAAAAAATTAAATTAAAAAGAACATATAATTAAATTAAATATATTGAAATAATATTAAAGCAAATAACGCAAAATAAAGTTAAATGCAAAAAAATTAAAATAATAACATAAAAAATATCAAATTACTTACTTATTTACTTTACCGACGTTGACACCGTATACGCGATTTTTGCTATTTGGCGCCAATTGAAAATACCAATATTAAATTAAAAAATAAAAAATTAAATAGTGTAAACTATACTAGTATAATATACATATGGGCAATAAAATAAAACCACTATTAAAATTTAATTAACTAGAATAAGTGAATAAATAATGCTGTATTAAATAATATTCAATAAATTAAAGTTTTGTAACTAAATAAAGTAAATAAATAAAATTTAAAAAAAATAAATTAAAATATCTTAAAAATAACAAAATAAATAAATTAAAACAAAAAATAATAATTTATAAGAAATGAAGTAAAAGCAAGTAAACTAAAATTTTATTAAAAAACTCCAATTAAATAAATTAAAATAAATTAACTTAAAATAAAATAAAACAATTTCACTTTTAAATATGTAAAAAAATTAAATTAAATAAAATTTAAAATTTAATGAATATAAACTTAAAATAAAATATACTGAAACAAATAGAAATAAAAATAAAAATATGTGCCCATGATTTTGAAAGTGGTATAAGTCAAAAATTTTAAAAATCTACTTTATCAGCTTTTACTTGTCAAATCTCAATAAAATAATATAATCTGATGAAAGTAGCAGCATGCCATTCAAACTAAGTCATTAAAATGCGTTTATTTTTTTAGTTGTTCACTGAAATACAGATATTGTTTGTTTTGATAGTGGTATAAGTCAGTGTGTTCACAAAGTAATTTTATTATGTCTTCAGATAGTGGTTCAGGTAAGATGAAGTAAAACTTTTAATGTAAAAACCTACTATTTAAAGTTAACTGTAGACATTTTACGGCGAATAAATGGAAATAATGCTCCCAAGAAATGGAAACGAATAAGAATGATATCGTCTTCTGATGAATCAGATGCAGAACCCATACAAATGGAAGAGCGCAAAATGAAATCAAGAAAGAGGACACGCAATCCACAGAATTATGCACAAAATATAAGAAAAATGAAGAGAAATAGTGGAGGAATAAGAAACAAAAAACTCTAAGCACGTGAGTGCTAAACTTTTCGAAAATAAAGATTGTCTTTGTTCCGAAAAGTGTTTAAATGGAATCGGATGAGAAGACAATAAAGATAATTTTGATTATTTTTGGAAATTAGCAAATTTCGAAAAACAGAATCTGTTTCTGTGTGGTTTGATTACAAAACAATTAATAAAACAAAAACGCCCCAGAAATCGCAAAGGATATATGAGAAAATGGAGTCTTAAGTTTCATCTATATGTAAGTATAAGTTCGGAAGTTTCTGTTTGCAAAAAAAATTTTTTTTGATACTTTCAAAATATCTAACGGAAGATTAAGCCGTGCTTTAAATTCTGAAACACCTGAAATGGATGGTCGTGGCAAAATGGCTAGTTCATCTAGAAAAACGGATGAAGAAAAACTTAAAGTAGTACGAGATCATATTAAGAGTTTTCCAGCATGTGAGAGCCATTACACGAGATCACGTCACACTCCAGGTCGAAAGTATCTAAGTGCTGACTTAGATATTCGAAAAATGTATGGGCTATATGTGGAAAAATGTGATGAAAATAATACATCATATGTAAAGGAGTGGACNATGAATAATTTACGTTGTCACAATGAAATGAGTTTGAATAAAACGTTAATTACTAATAAAATTGTTTCATTTTTGGTATAAGTCATTTATAAAGTCATGAAGTTAATTTTGAAAGTGGTCCAAGTCATTTAAACCTTTCAAAACCACATTTTCTTTTAAAAATGGCAATAAATTTCACAATCATAATAAGTACTTGTTTGTTGGGACTACTTTAATGTCGAAAAATCATAATCCATAATGCAAGAATATTTTTTAATCCTTTAAAATACAAAACTCTAAATATCTCGAAACAAAAAAAATATGACTTATACCATTTTCAAAATCATGGGCACATATATTGAACGAAATTAAGTTAAATAACATAAATACATAAAGCAATTCTATTTTTGACTTTTTTTTCAGATCTCACAAATGCTGAAGTCGAACCTAGATTGGAAATTTTCCCCATGCAAGGTGTACAAAGAAAACCCGTAGGAAAATCTTTGATTCTAACATGCAAACCGATAGTGCCCGATCCAAATTTGGTATCCGATTTGCAATGGAAGGATAATATGAATAACACTATATTGCCGAAACCGTAAGTAAAAAAAAATGAAACAAAATAAGTAAATTTAATATATGATATGATACACAGATAAGTGAAACATTTTTGTAAATAATTGAAAAAAAAAATAATAATAAAAATGATTTAAAAGTCATAGATTTTAAAGCTTGTATTATAGTCATAGTCTTAAAAGTTTCCTTTAAATAATTCTGCCTCTTCATTAAACTTTCTGATTAATAATTTTGAAAAACTATTCACTTGTAAATATTGTAAAATACAAAAATTAGAATATTCAAAGTAACTAAATATTGGAATAATTACAATTTAAGGAAGCTTAACGGTGTAAAGTAAAAGTAAGACATATATTTATATCTAATATTAATTAATTTACTAAATAATAAGTGATTATAAATTTATATGAGTTTTGGCATTTTTTCATAAATTAAAATTAAGATATTTGTGTTTGAAAATATGCATACATAGTCAGTTAAAAAATCAAAAAAAAAAGTATGAAATAATTCCGAAATTGTAACTTATATGTTGTACATTTTTATATAAACTATTTCTAAATTTTTGTCAAAAAAAAATTATTACGTTTGAAACTTTTTTTTAAATAGTACACTCCGCTTCTTTTTCATAGTCACCGCTACTTAAAAGAACTATTTGATAGGTATTTTAGAGCCACCCTTATAAATTCCAAATCTTCCAAAAACTTACCCATAATAAATTAATTGGCTACTTTAATATTAGTTTTTTTTTTTTTAAATTATATCCTGCTTTTTACTCGTACATTAAAAATTTATAATGATTAACCGATTTTTTTCAACATGCATTATTTAAAATTTTTCTACAAAAATACTTATTATATAATTATAAAAATTTATTTACACAAACAATTGAATAATTTGTCCGTATATTTAATTTGCGCAATTAATTTATTTTATTCTCTTGTTATAATCTTTTTTACAACAACAAAATTTTAGGAACAAATACTATTATCCACTGTATGATTCCAAAGGACGTAGATTACCCACTGTGTAAGTGTAAAACCACTCACTACTATCTTTCTCATGCTCAGCAAAACGGCGCGCCTAATGCTAATTATATTAATGTGCGCCTAAATAACGAATGTGTCATGTTTATATTGGTTTTGAAACACCCTAATAAAGGAAATTGAAAAATATTCTTAGTTTCACTTAGTGACAAAAACATTCGTTTGAAATAATTAAATTTCCATTTTAGCCGAAGCCGGCAACTACTGGCATGACCCTAATATTTACCATTTCCATAGCGTGCACAAAAGCGACTAATGCAACCCTGTTGTGTTGACTTTCCCGCCATTAACATGCTCTAGCTAAATGTCGCTCTAAACTGCTAGTTATTTCATTAAAATATGCATTTATGGCAAAGAAAAGTCAAATAAAATATTAACAAATAATTGTAGTTTAATATGACCTTAATATTCATCATCGTGTAGAGCGTGTGTAACCCAGAACGAATATTCTAAAATATTCAGTGAACGTAGAAGTAGTGCTTAGTGTAATTTTGACAGCAACGCAGTGTTGCATTTTCATGTTAACTACAATTAAATCGCTAGCTTTGCACGTTTTACATTCCTTTGAGTTGATTTTGAATATGAAATTTAATTAAGCATAATTTTTCTTAATGTTTTGTTAAAACTGTTTAGAGCTTTTTTATGGTTTTACAATTTTTACACTCATTTTTAAATAAAAAAAATTTAAATTTGCTTGCAAACTTTGAAAAAATTTACTTAAGTTTATAACCGCCTGATAATTTGAGCTGACTAACTTAAAATTACATATGGTTTTCATAAATTATTAAAAATATCTCTGCTTAGAAGTTTCTTATTATTGTAACTTACCTTAAAGCATTCAATTACTTTAGCCATTTTTTCTTTAAAACTCTAAACATATTTACATTATTATTTACAGCGCATTTACCGTTATATGATACATGTAGCTATATAAGTAAACTCCTCGTAACTACCTTTATAGCTCTACATACATATATGTATATATATATAATTTTAAAATACGCGCACTTTATAGCTCTCCATTCATTCATTTGTGTATTCATTCACACCGTATTCATTTCCAACTCACTTACAACAGTTATGATAATCTCCTTGGCGAATACATTCACAGTGGAATTAGTTTACTAACGCTTGCATAAAATATGCGATTGTCAAACATTTCTAAAGGTTTATATGGATGAAATTTACTAAAATACACACATATACACACACACGTGTATATGCATTGCATTTGAGTATATACGTGTATGTATATGTGAAATGTTTGTCAGAAATTCGCATTGAAGTAGCTACTAATTCTTTTCCATTATTTAAATCATTTTTTACTCATGTTTTTTTATGTTGCATTGCGTATTTTTTGTAATTTAATTAATGAAAGAGTATTTAAAAAATAATCAAAATATTTATTTCTATAAAATGAAATTAAAAATTTATTTTTCGGTATAATAATACATTTATGACTAAAATAAAAAAACAAAAAAGCCAATTAGAAATCTGCAGCAATGCATATTTGAACTTCATTACTTTTTCAGCATAAAAAATATATTTTTTTCTCATCAAAAAATATTGTTTAAACTTTAAATTATCATTATATTTACAAATATAAAATTGTAACGGTTATTCCCAATTTAATTTTACGATTTTTTTTTACCAATACTAACAACTCAATTTCTTTATTATTAAACATGCTTAATTTAGTGCGGAAAACTAAATGAAAACTCTGCACTAAATTACAGCAAAGGACAAATATTAATTTGTAATTAAAAAATGTATTATCTGTAGGTATAATGCTTATTTTACAATTGTATGTACGCATGCGGCCGCGGTAGCCGGGTGGTTAACATTGCGTACTGACATTCGGAAGGCTCGGGTTCATATCCCGATGCCAGCAACACCCAAATGTTATGCAAAATTAATTTATATAAAAAATAAGTTCTAAATGCGGTCGCCCCTAGACTAGGAAATTCCACCCCACCGAGTGTTTTTCGGACACGAAATAAAGCGCCTCATAAAAGCCGGGGGCTTAGTATAAACAGTAGGTTCCTCCATTTGTCGGAAACACATCAAGACGCAAAACGACAAATTGGAGAAGGAGCTCGGCCGAAAATTCGCTTTAGCGGTTACACAGCACCAGTTATATATGTGCACATATGTACATATCTATTGGGAAGTATTTACCCAAAGCAAATAAATAATAATGTATTATTTTCAATATGACATAAAATCCCTATAAGGACAACAAATTACAATATTATTGCCGGGAAATTCGATTAACATTTAATAGCATAATTTTGGGCTTAGCCTACACCATTACAGACATTTTTATTTGAAAATACGTATGCAAATAATTACGCCAGTGGAATAACAGCAGCAAATTATTTATTTAGCTTGGCAAACTTTAAATAAATGGAATGTTAAAAAATTTTTGAAAAATTCTTACGAAATAAGTTATATTTTAATTTTGCTAAAATATTTCATTTTGTTTTTATACTTTATCTTGATTTAATTAAAAAAGTTCTTACAATTTTTATTTTTCATTTAAATAAATTTAACATATTTTACTTAATATCATGTTATGTTCTTTCGATTTATTATATATTAATGTATTTATTTTATTCCGTTTTATTTTATTTTATTGTATTATCTATATATTATTTAATTTTATTCTACTTTATTTTCCTTTTTTTCATTTTCTTTAATTTAATTTGTTTTTTATTTCATTTTGTTTTTATTTTTTATCTTATTTTAATAAAATTATATATTTTAATTAACTTTATTTTAATCTCATTGAATTTTAATTAAACGATTATTTATTTTTTCATTTAATTTTCTTAAATTTGTTTAATTTTACTTTGTTTTACATTAAATTGTGTTAATTTTTTATACAATTTATGTACTTCACATTTTTTCATATTATTTTTTCTTACAAACGTACAAAAATTTTTTTCACAATAATTATATTTTTTAATTATATTATTATATTTCATATATATTTATTTTATTTTATTAGTTTTATTTCTTTTTTTTATACCTTAATTTATTTTATTTTAGTTTATTTTATATTAGTGTATTTGTTTTACTTTTTATTATATTTTGTTTTATATTATTTTAATTTATTTTATTTTATTTGATTCATTTTATTTTATTATTTTCTGTTTTTTTTTTTAAATATATCATTTATTTTAATTTATTTTAACAACTTTATATATTTAATTTTATTTAATTTTAATTTCTTTCAATTTTTTTATTTAACTTTGTATTACTTAATTTAATTTTATTATATTTTATGTTATTTTTTATGGAATTTTATTTTATTTTGCTTTAAATTATTTTATTTTGTTTTACTTTACTTTATTTCATTTTGTTTTATTTTTTTTTTTTATTTTTTTACTTTACTTTATTTCATTTTGTTTTGGGTTATTATATTTTAATTTAAATTAATTAATTTTAATATTTTTGTATTTGTCTTCTATTCAATTTATTTTGTGAATCTTATTTATTTTTTTTATTTCATTTTATTTATCTTTATTTTATATCTTTTGTTTTTGTATCTTATTTTATTTCTTTTCCGAAAAAAAATTAAAGCAGAAATGAATATTCCGCTATTTTAAAAATAATACAGCAACCTTATAATTTGGGGTTTCCGTTGATATTAAATACACATGTGTGTATGTAAATCACCATTTTGCCCCGTCATAAATCCGATTTAATGCGGATTTAGCTCAGTGCTTTGCAACTGAACTCCACTGACCTGAATAAGCGAAGCTCCAAATATATTTCTAACAAAAATGGCTTACAAAAGCACATTTCAGTCATATTCATAGCCATATTTTAGGCGCTCGCTTATAGCAACATCACCAGAAATTTTGATTCGCTTTTATGCACCACTTGACGCACAACAACAGCAAATGCACATCGATGCTTTTAAAAATAAAATTAAAAATATCGAAAATACGCCTAAATGTATGCTACAGTTTTACAAGTAAGCTTTCAAGCCATTGCCAACCGTTAAAAATAAACGGAATTTACGCACACTAAGCACATTTTCAAACATTTTCGGACAAATTTTCATACTTATTTTAGCATTAAAAACACACAATTAACTTTTATTGAACAATTTCGTCAAATAAACTCGCAACAAAAATCAACTACCAGCGTTTTAGTGTGTGGAGTGCATGAAAAAGTGCTTGACCAGTGTTGGTAAATGATACTGAAGAGGAAAGTGTGCGGCATATATACATATATGTACATACGCACATACGTAAAAACAAGCGTGTTACCCGCGTTTATTTTGGCTGCGCTCAGCTTGACTGGCGGCGAATGTGGGTGAATTGTGAAAATCGCTAATCGCGCACATTGCAACCAATTTATTTAGCTTTTTCATTTTCCGCAGAGTACCGAATGTGTGGGTGTGCCCATGAAAGGGCAGGCGCCACTGCATTGCAGTTTCTCTTTGCACAGCAAAAATGTGTTTGTAGTTTGTTTAAAAGAAGAGGAGCATTACTGGCATTGGCTGCCGCCACAGAAAATCCTTTTCACACACACACATACGTATATATATCTAGAGGCAATAACTAAAAGCTAATAGCAGGCAAAGCAGTTGAAATTACACTGCATTAAAGGATTGGAAACCTCATTTAGGCTGTTTTTTAATCAGAAAATAGTGCTCAGCAAATACAGTTGGTGAGATGAGAAATCTATTGTAGTCAGTTTTGTAGTATTATACGTTTTCTATTCAAATGTAAGGCCAGTTGGAATAGTCCCCTATTACATATTGCTGAAGAAATCTTGAAATACCCGCTTTTAGTTTTTATAAGACAAAATTGACCCTGAAGTGTTTATTGTTATTTTCACATCTTCTGATAACCCCATACAGCCAGCCCATACCACCGAAAACTGGCATGTCTGGGATCGGATTTCCACACAACTTGAATAACGAGGGAGTTGTTCTGAGCTTAAGCTGACATCCCAGTTCGCTTTTTC